TATTCGTTAATAAAATGACACGACAGGATATGGCTTTCGTGCTACGTTTCAGGATACCTTTATTAGTTAAATTTTATGTTAAATGAATTTCATTCATCAGAAACTGAATTTTTCAAAGCCCATTGATTTAGTTTCATGGAAGGATAATGATACTTTATCGGAAGTAATATTTACACGTTATTATAATACTTTTGTGCACGTGTTTTATTTTTGCTTTTACTTAAGTCCTTAACTGTAATTAAAAATATTTTGTTTCACACATACGATTAAACGGTTTACTCAAGTATATATTTCAGGGATGTCTAAAAAGTTTCGGACTCGACGGGGGCTCTTTTTTAAGGAGTGAATCGTCCTGTTGCGATAGAGTGTTACTTCTAATACTGCATACATACGTAAAACCGTTTATACAGGGTGGCGCAATAGAACGTGCATATTTAAAATATTGATTAGAAAATAAATACAAAAGGTATAGTTAAAATAAAACTGAGGTATTATTAAGAAATAACTGAAGTTTATTTTTTAAAAATAACATCGTCTAAATGATGACCCTCTCTACGACGACACTCCTCTAATCGCAAACGGAAGTTATTGAAAACTTTCTTCAGTAATGCTGGTGTAATTGCTGCCATTTCACCACGGATATTCTCCTTGAGCTGATCGTTGTTTTTCGGATTATTACTGTAGACTTTGTTCTTGAGGTATCCCCACAAAAAAAAGTCAGGAGGCGTCACGTCTGGACTACGTGGGGGCCATGGGATATCACCTCTTTTCGAAATCAGTCTGCCAGGGAACATCTGTTTCACAACCGCCATGGAGTCATTTGATGTGTGACAGGTAGCTCCGTCTTGTTGAAACCAAGTCCTAGAATTCACTATTCTTGAATTTTCAAGCTCTGGAGCCAAAAAACCTTCCAACATCGCAACATAGCGTTCGGTATTAACAGTGACGTTTTGCCCCCGCGCATTTTCAAAGAAAAACGGTCCAATTATTCCTCTACCAGAGATTGCTGCCCATACTGTCACTTTAGGACTATGCAGTGGTTTCTGGTGCTTGAGTTTGGGATTCTCACTGTTCCAGTAACGACAATTTTGACGGTTTACGAACCCATTGATATGGAAGTGGGCCTCATCTGAGAAAAGGATATTGTCAAAATTGGAAAATCGATTAAGCATTTCATTAGCAAATGCGAGCCTTGCTCCGAAGTCAGACTCTTTCAATTCTTGTGTTAACTGCAGCTTGTAAGGATGCAGTTTAAGATCCAAGTTTAAAATTCGTTGCAAACTTCGTCGCGATAAGTGTAAGACAGACGATCTCTTACGAGTAGACATTTGTGGATCTCCTCGTACAGACTGCATAACTCTCTCAATATTGTCGTCGGTCCTAGATGTTCTTGGACAACCTTTTGCTTGTGGTTTAAACGTTGAACCAGTCTCTTCAAAACGCTGTACCCATATTTTAATTAAATTAGCACTCGGAGCTTTACTAATTTGCCGTAGTCCATATTCAGAACAATATAAACGCCTAGTAACGATGTATGAACGAGAGTTCTCGTAAAATGCGCGCACGCAAAATGCGCGACGCTTCCCGTCGAAGTGACTCATAGTGACTAAAACTCCATGAGCCCGCCTACCCAACGATGCAGGCTCCCCCCGCCCGCGCACTTTCTACCCCGCGAAAAAAGATGATGCAATATGCACGTTCTATTGCGCCACCCTGTACTTAATAAATAAAGAATCCCATTGACGAATGTTTTTATTTATGTATTTGCATATCTTTTAACTAACAGAATACATTACGAAACTGAATTTTTATCTATTGTATAAAATATACTCACCACTTATTAAAACTAGAACGGCTATTTGTAAGTTCAGCTATAAATTTTGGAACTACTAGGAAAGCCCGTATTCGCATAACGCAAACAGGGCACTAGTTCATTAAAAAGATTTAAACGGTCATTACGACAATGCGACGTCCCAACTACTATCACGAAAACAGTAGTAACTTATCGGATAACTATTCTATAAATAAAAGTTACATTTTTAACTCAAGTGAGTTAAAAATGTGTTATGGTTAACAGAAAATATTTAAAACTAACAAAGACATAGATTTTATTTACTTATACGAGTATATTTTTATTTTTACTTTATTTTTATATTAATGACCAATGTCGTATGTCGTGGACAAATATTTAGCTTATGACGTCTAAGGGCCAATATTAAAGCAATTTAGGTATGAAATAACACAAATATTAGTCCTTGGAGTATGCTAAGTGTATGCTAGTATTCTAAGAGTTTATAATTAAACAAGTTCCGACAAAACCCTATCAGAAACCTTAAAAAAGAAAAAGTATATCTACTTAATAAGTTTACTTTTAACAGCAATTTGAGAGCAAGAATGAACTAAATTTCTGTTTGGATTAAGATTATATAAATGAGACGTACCCCTATTTTTGTCTGTGCGGCAATTCCCTCGGATACCACCCACCGGTGGTTATGTCGGACATGAACCGACCATAAACCGCACGCCGTCTCGGGTGCCAGTTGCCGGGGAACCAGGTGTACCCTAGGAAGGAAAAACCTGATACCCCGACGTACCTCGGGCCATCTACGGCGCGTAAATGACCCCCTCCTGTGTGGGAACCCCTATTTTATTTTATTTTTATAAAACAGGTACAGAAACAGACAACACATTATGTAACACATATAATAGCATTTTAACATACATGTTATAAACCTGATATCCTACTATATCTGTACACATCATTTAAAAGTTAACAGCTTCCTAGAGATGAAGACAAATACATAAACAAATGGAGATTAGAAGAAGTGAATACACTGATAATAAAGGTGATTAAACGCTAAGCTAATTTATCCCCCTATGTCCCCTTTGTGCTCCCGAAAGGGCGCCAGGTCCTCGTGGAGGAGTGAAAGGAACGACTTGGGCAACCGAGCGCTGGGCACGCCGTTAACGCGGTAAACAACGTTAAATTCAGGTATCACATCACATTAACAAGCCTTAAATAGTCCACTGCCAAGCATTGGCCTCTTCTTAGAAAGGAGGTTTTGGCCTGGTATACCACGTGGGTCGGACGGGCCTGCATAGGGTTTGTTTCAAGTTTATCTTATCTTTGCCGTTCTGCGTATAATTCTAGTTTACATTGTTAAATCACAACTTGATTAGAATTATGTAATTTTCATAGTGGGAAGGTTTTTTGCATTCTAGGATACCACCTTTTGCTTAAAACATTTTCCATTTTAAAGTAGTCAAGTTTTTATAAGGTCAAGGCAGAATCGTCTATTTTTTTGGAATAGAGCCAACGTCTTTCAAATCTAGGCAACGAGCCTGGCTACAGAAATTCTATTTTGATATTAAGGGTGAAGGTAACTCTTAAATGATAGGTTAGTTATATGTTGCTATATGCTGTTATAGGCTGTTAGTTATACTCATAAACAAAAACGTCTCAGTATGGTCTTGTTACGAACTGTAGTCATGTACCATTTTTTTTTGCTGACGGGGTGGAAAATCCCTTCGGATCTCCGGCTCCTCGGGGATGCAGGAGCCAGGAGTATGTGGTGTTTCCACTAGAAACCACCCTGACAGCCGGACTCCGGCGCCCTGCTCTGGGAAGGACCCGGGCCGTATTATTACACCCCCCCCCCCCCCCGATCGACACCGCGCCTATCCGGGCCCTATCCCGGGGAAAGTAGCCTTCCTCCCACCTATCGACCTAATCAATTTTTATTGCGGCATGTACCGAATATAATGTCTCTTTCATATTATAATATTTTTGTAACCGTTCGGGTATAACTTAACAGCTACAAGACTAAGGAAGCTGCTAGAAGTTTTATTCTGACGACAGGAAATGGTGATTCGCAAAAGCTTTAAAGCCTTACCTGAAAATGAGTTTTGGAAAGTTTGACACTAAAATAGAATACTGGGCCGTGTAGGATTTTCAAAGGGTATGTAAATAGCTACAGATAAAGTTGAACAGATGAGATTGACTGAAATTGATTATTTTCAACAGCAAATAAACTTAGATAATATTTCTAGTTCACATTCGAGATGCAACGAATTATAAAAGCGAACTGTTACACAAAATACGTTCGGATCAACGGTTCAGAGTCTTAGTAGTCAGGGTAGTGCAAGCGTGCCCGCAAATGTTTCCGCCAGATGAAATCTGTCAAAGGGTTGCATCCATAACCGTGAAATTCAATTAGATATGGATACCTATGAACTCCAAAGATTATCTTAAACTATCCTGCTTAAAGTTGTATACTAAATGCTCAGGTTCTTTATTATAACAAAAAAAATCTCCCCGCATACAGTTTGTTTTTCATACAAATAAACCTTAAAATGATGATAGTGTTATTGTAGTATAGTGTTGTGTAGTTATTGACGGCTCTAAAAATAAATAAATAAAAATGCCTTTATCTTATACTTAGACAAACTCGGTCTTTGGGCTTCCGAATCTCCTGAGAGCATCTGGCCTTAGCAGAAGAAAGCCTTAAAGAAGTTATTGGTTTCCTGTTTCTAATGTGAGCAAAGGAGGACATATTATTAATGCCTCTACCTTAACTAACTTGAAGAAAACGATGGTGCCGAAGTTCCTGTCGTTGTACTACCGCCCTTAGTTCTGGGCAGTAATACAACAGATCCAAAAACAGTCCAAGATCGCTGCAACTCTTCCAAGCCTGCTTACCGGCCCGTTTAATGAGGTTTGTGAGCAAATCTTTGCAGACCTTATCAAACTTCTTTGAAGTGTGCACCAATCTTGACTTCAATCAGTTGGCAGTTTTTCTACTTTAATTGTGAATGTAAAAGAACTGACAGAGAAGCAGTAAGGTAAGTAATCTCAACATTGTCAACGTCTTTTGGTTTTTAAGACAAAAAAACTTAATTGTTATAAACTTGTAAGACTAAAACTTGAGAGTACAAAGAAATAGAAGTACTTTATTACACAAAAAAATATACAAACAAAAATTTACAAAATTAGAAGGTTCTCAAATGAAATCGTAAAGTGATAAAACAGTATCGTAATTGCATAGATCATAGTCACAAAAATGCCACCAGTAATTGTACAGTGGCGTACGTACACAGCCTCGCCATATGTATCCATGAGCTCTATGTGCTTTTACTGCACACACTTCATTTTGTTCACACTCTTCAACTGGTATGTTACCTCTACAATAAAATTAAAAATGTTGTATTAACCGATAGAGATAAATGTACATCTATTTCAAAATCATCCACGACTTGAATTCATATAATGACCACCTCTCTTTTAATAAACATTTCAAAAAACTCTCTTTATAAACAGGCTATGTATAGCAAAAAAATAATTGAGGGATATGGAAAAAATGACTTGTCGAATATGGGGCTTAGTTTAATATTGATATTGGCTATTCTCCGCAGTTTCACCTTTCTAGGTTGAAACTGGATGTTAAATAGCCGATCATTTTCTTTAATGAATACTCTATCCCAATCTATGCTGCTAACAATACTTACATGCTGCCTTCTAAGCAGTTGGCACTTTCGATTAAATCCGCTTTCTGAACTGTTGAGTTGACTTCACATCTCAAACAAGACATATCTTTAAATATTGATTTTCTGAAGTGCCTCGTTCTTGAAATTTCTATAACATTATCAATCCAATCCTGTTTAGTGTTGAATGTATACGGCATCTCAGAAATTGAAATATAGTTGCAAAGATTGCAGGAACACACGTAAGTGGTTAGGTTATGATTTGAGTTGTAACATCCACGGTCTATTATCCCAAAAGGAGTGTGCATCGAATAACATAAGTCATCGTCATGTTCGCACATTACTGACTGTATTCTGAAAATTCAAAAATCACAAAAGAAAGCAATTTTTCATATATATAGGTACAACAATATACAGGTAACATATACACATATAACATTTATATAGGTTACAAATTTTTTTACAGTAAAATTGTAAAAAATTAACTTTGAGATTATTAAAAATTAAAATATCAAGCAAACTACTAAAATTAAACGAATAAAGAAATTATTTAATGAACATGGAATTACTAATTTATGTTGTATGTACTGTTTATTTAATATAAAAAAAAATATTTTAATCAGTTAAAAGCATTTGATAGATAGGTAAATAAAATCTTTAGATAGATTTCTTATTTGCTTGAAATATAGTAAATTACAGAAGACACAAGAATATGCTTACAGTTTATTTTTGGGATCGTTGCAATCTTCTACACCGACATTATTACAATTTATGCATGATCTTCTCGGATCATCGTGCTCCATAAACTGATCCGTCGAGTTGCCTTCAATATGTGCACCCGAAGATGCGTGCACCTTTATTTCGTGATCCATTTTGTCAGTCTTAGCTACACTTTTTTTTTTCGTCAGTTCACTCTTCCTTGTACGTTTGTCATCTAACAAAGTAGTAAGAGTTAAATTTTCATGTATGACATCAGTAGGAGTTGTAGGCATTGGAGTAGTACGAGTTGAAGACATTGTAGTTGTGCGATTTGGAGACATTGATATAACACGATTTGAAGTTGTTGTTGTTGGAGTAGGAGTAGCAATAGATACTTCAGTAGAAGAAATAGTAATGGTTGTGCTAACTGTGGTTAAACTGTTGGTGGGGGGAGGTGTTGTATTGGAAACTGTTGTCACAGTTGATTTTAAGGTTGTTCCTGGTCGTCTTGTATCTGTATTTTCAACTATATCATCGAAAATTTCCTTAACATTGTTAACCAGAAATGACACTAAATTACTACGAGGGTCATCTTTTTCTGTGGTTTCTGCTAAATTATTATCTTCCATTTCTTCTACCTGTCGTCTAAAGTAAGGTATGAATTTCTTACTGTTTGCATTTTCTTTAGATTCACAATGCACCTTGATTAAAGATATATATACAAACATCTGTAAAAATATTTTTCCTTTCATCTTTGCAACGAAACCAGATGTGAAAATTTACTTTCATCAAAAATAACGTCAAAAAATCAATGTCAAATTCTCGACAGTCCTTTTTAATCATTCTTTCTAAACTGTGAGCTCTTCAAAGAGGTTTTATTATGCGTATATCATTACGAACACTTTCATGAGTAACAAGAACTTTGTTAATTTGTTTACTGAGCTTTTATTATCACCTAGTATAGAAAGCGATTTTAAATTTGTATGTGGCACCGTAACTCTGATTTCTTCTCTTTGTATCCTTAGTTTTGGTCGTAAGTATGCGTTATCATTACAGGAAGTGCTATTACAAAAATAGAATATTGAATTATAAATCGGTCTGTTTATACATCCTCTGGATACAAAATCAATTTCATCGTCGATATTTGTGTAGCAAATATGATTATGAGGACACACCATATATTCCGTACTAAAAATTAAAACAAATGATGAAATTACTTTGAAGATTAAAATAGTTTTAAGCTACATCTTATGCGTACGTTTTTATAAAAAAATTATTTACTTAGTAGCGGCATGCTGCTGTGAGGTAAAGACCACTTCACTAAATTCGAGTTAGTCTCCAAGGTTTCCTAAAAAATAGTGTTGTGTTGTTCTATTTTTTCTACTCCTTTGTTTTTGATTTATTTTTTAATGAAGTATGCCTATAAAAATTACCGTGTGAGATTGATATTTAAAAAAATAAAACAATAGGATTAATCCAACTTCGACTACTTAAGTCTGCATCTAAATTATCTCTCCAGGGCAGCCTAACGTCACACCACCACAATGTGTCCAGTCTACCTTTTTTCTTTACTCTACCTTTTTTTTTTCAGCCGGCTTGCTTTTGCTAGGGTGAAAGTCTGCCTAAACTGTCATCCCGAGGCCTGCGCTTATGGAGGAGGAAGGACGTGGGTTTTTCAACTCATTGGAAGAAAACTGGCACTACTCTGTTTTTTCACTAATTGTTTTTCTTTCGGATGGTACAAATAAAGGATTGGTCCAGCATATCTTTAATAGGCCCTTTCCCCCTTCATTCTTTTTTGAAAGTTTATAATTTTTTAAGACTACTCACTTTTTCCCAGACCTACAACTTTGGTCTTGTACCGGGTCTACACCTTTCGTTTCACAAACTTTACAGATGAGGTCCATACCCAGAAGCCGCTTTGACAATCGAGAATTATCGTATGCCCAATCATTGATCGTTGTATATTCGTAATGCCAGGATTCGGTAGAAGGTTTGTCGTTACAGAGAGGGCATTTGCATACAAATGTTCTGTTTACCCTTCCAGGTAATACACAACCCCTTCTTAAGTATTCTGGATGAATTTCCGTAAAACAGAACTCAGCATCAGCACATTTTGTTATGGGTACCCTTTAAAAAAGGTCAGTAGTGTTTAATTGAAAAATAAGGATGTATGTTCATAAAGATTGTTTTTATACTTTTTAAAAATAACAAGAAATAGACTTACTTGGCACCCTTATAGCATTTTTCGTCCACACTGGATGTTCCAGCTGCGTAACACGTACGGCAACTTACAGTTGTATGCGATACAACCGCCCTAGGTTTTCTGTGAGGTTTCATTATTTCTAGAGGCTCATTTTTATATTTTGCGCTCACTGAATCCTTATATAATTTAAATTTTTTCACAAAAAGCTTCTTGAGTTCATAGTCATCAAATTTCTCATAGTCCACTGTAATATCTGATGTACTCGTAATGTTGTCCTTACTTTGACTTTCGTTGGAGTTGCTTTCAGGACACGGACTTGATGCAATTTCCCTTTGTTCTGTAATATAATCCCACTGGCTTCTGATCCCCTGTACTACTAAGGCTAATATAAAAAGACTGAAAAGATTTTGCATATTTACATTTGACATTTTGGAGGTTATCGTGGCCAGGTAATTTAATTTTCTTTTTTAGTCAGTAGTACAGCAGATTATCACTGTTAGAGCTTGCATTGTAAAAAGAGGTCTCATTTAGTTGAGAAAATAATTTTTTTTGTAATTGAAAAAGGTGTTTTTTTTGTAAATGTTAAATATGTATATCTAAAACAATAAATATGTATCTAAATTTTGATATAAAGTTTTTTTTTTATTTCAGTGTGATAACTCCAAAACCCGTAAAAGATAAAGTTTACTGTAACTGAGCTTAATCTTCTTTTAATCAATTTTTAGTTCTTTCTTAGACTTAAAAATATTGTTAATAAAGACATTTCGTATATTAAAAATAATTTAAGGAGATCCAAATGTTTAATCGTAACGTTTTTAAATAATAACCGATTTGGAAACGCCTTTAATTGGCTGGAATAATGTAAACGATTAGATCAAGTCTATCCAGCCCAAGGTTGGTCAGAACTGGATTTGGTCTATGAATTACTGGTCTAGAATATTTTGAACTAGGTATTAGGGTCTGTAGTTATTTTCGGATTGTTAGGATTGATAAGATTGCTATAACCAGTATAATATGAAAAAAATCTGGACACTGGAATTTCACAAATTTTATTGAGAAATTCATGTTCTGAACTATTTTCTAAGAAAGAAACATACCATATTGCTTTAAGGACGTAAATTAAGTGCATTACATAAAATTAAAATGTTGCTTACTGGAACTATTCATTACTGGTATTGGTACGCCCTACAAGAGGGCCGGATTGCGTAGTGGTGTGTGTAACATACTGCTACGTCAAAGGTCGTGGGCTCGATTCCCGCTCAAGTCAAACATCTGTGTGCATAAACATGTTTGATTTGTTCTGGACGTTTCTATGTAAAATATGTATGTATTTACAAAAAAAGTAAATATGTATTTACGAGTATATCAGTTGTCTAGCACCCATAGTGCAAGCTCTGCTAAGTTACGGACTTCGTTGTGTTAATGTAGTAGATTTTTTTTTTATTGTTAAGCTATTATTATTAACATATCGAATCCGGGGATTGAAGTGATGTAAAAATATATTTCGACATAATTGAACAAAGACAAGCTTAACTGCATTAAACTATTGAAATATTAATAAAAAGCGAAGTCCAGTTTCGGGGCCACTTAGAGGGTAAGGTCAAATTAGCCTCGAAGAAGCTCGGTGTGCTGAACAGATCGAGGCAGTATTTCACTCCGGGCCAAAGCCTTCAGCTCTATAAGGCGCAAGTCAGTCCGCATATGGAATACTGTTCTCATCTCTATGCAGGGGCACCTCAGTATAAGCTTCTCCCTCTGGACCGAATCCAACGAAGAGCGACTCGAATCGTTGATAGCCCATACATCTCTGATCGGCTCGATCCCCTGGCGTTACATAGATATGTGGCTTCATTCGCATTCTCTATCGCATATATTATTAAGAGTGTTCCGAGGAATTGTTTGGACTAATACCAGTCGTAACTTTCCGCACTCGTTCCACACGGCAAAATTTTCATCCTCATCACCTGGATAGTTGGCGCTCCACTACTCTGCGCTTTTCGAGACACTTTTTGCCCCCACAACCAATCTGTGGAACGGGTTATCGTCTGCAGTATTTCCTTACCGATGCGACCTTCAAGGAAAGAGCGTACTCCTTTTCTAAAAGGTCGGCAACGCGTTTGTGACTCCTAAGTTGCAGACGTTCATGGGTGGCGATGGTCAAAGAAATCTCTGACGGCGAAAAATATGTGTGTAAATTATTAACAAAATCCAAAAGTTTCGTTTTACACCTAGTCTAGTTGGCGGATCCTCCCTTTGGGTTAGAGGAACGCAATTCTTCATTCCTCCATAACAACAAAGTTGTAATTGAATTTAATTTCGGCAACCGTTTAGAAGTATATTCTATTTGATTTAATTGAAAATGATTTCATTGAAGATCAAGTAAATAACAATTCCACTACATTAAAATTGCAGCTACAAATAACAACAGGGTATTTGATGTGGTTGTGGTTAACCTGAACCCAACGATATTATAGCCATTAGAAGGTTCAATTAGTTGGTTTCAATATTTGGCTAGATAAGCCTGTATAAAAATTGATGGCATAAGGTTCATTAATATTGATGAATGGTACATATGCTTTATAAAGGCTCATCCTCAGACGATGGGAATGCTTGGTCAATCACGATAGATAAAAGGCATAGAACGCAATGTTAAAGGAAACTTGATAACACGTCTATGCGTTATTGATGCGTTCGAGTGCGGCAATAAAATGTTGGATACGGTTTCATACTTTAAAAAGTGCATTGTGCGTCGAAGGCATAACGTATATTTCCTTAAGAAAGAGGTTTATTTCCGCTTATTGCAGTCTAAATCAATCGTGGTTTTTCATGGTTACGTAAAAAAGAGAAAAAATGTTGTTCACTAAACAAATTTTGAAAAGTAACCAAGCAACTGATATTTATAAAAAAAATTCAATACTTACCAAACGTTGGATTAGTTGGTAAATAATAAATATATTCAAATAACATGTGTTTTAACAGGCGTTTTAATCAAAGACGTGATTTTCTAAATCTGAGCCCTTCTCAATATCCCTTTAAATGTGTCCGATGTCAAAGGGTAATAACAGCAATTCAGTAATCACGCATCTCCTTCAGGAAACCCGTCTTCTCACGTCCATGCTATGCACGACGTGCTGCTATAATTCAACCCAATAATGATTCATATAAATTTGCGAAACGACTGAGAGGTGCAAACTGTAAGAGTAAGCTATGCAGTATATAATTTGCGCAAGTACACGCCCCAAGCGGATTACATAGTGTTGGAAACACGTATGTGATCTGTATCGATAGATACAATTTGAACGGGTATAAATTGCGATATGGATCTATTTTTTTTATGGAACGTGCGTGATAATAGTGCTATCATTTCAAATTCATGTGAAACTTTTAACTGATAATATTAAGAATTTCTTCCTACCTTTAACTATTAAAATGCTATAATACTTGAATGTTACTTAAATGACTTAAAGATAAAAACAAATTCTTTGTTACATATTGTTCTTATAAATACATGGATACTTATCTAACGTACTATTTAATTTGATTTTTTGACACTTCTATGTAAATAGACAGTATTTTTTTAGTATAGACAGTATTTTACTTTTAAATTAACAGAATATATATTAAATTAACTTATTCCGTCCACTTAGACAATTATTTGATTTAATTCATTCTTTTTAAATTGTACTTCTGTAATATTTATTTTCTTGTAAAAAAATTTAGCATGTTTAAACAAATTGTATTTCAAATAATTTGTGGTTTCAGAAAAAACAATGTATCGATAAAATATATTTTGTTATCTGCATTAGAGGGGCATATAAATCCTTCCATTATATAAGTGTCACCTATTTATACATCAACGGACATGCTTGTTAGTGTTAGGACAAAATAGTTACTCATTTTATGAGTAAAAAATATTGACCAAGAAATATTAAAGCAATTTTAAATGAGGTAAACCATAATATAAGTATAAACATAACCAGGTTATATTTTGTGGAAATATTGTATGAGAGTGTAGTGTATGTATGCTGTTGGTATACCAAATAAATAAAATAAAATACACATTCCCAAAGTAAATTTCAAAAAAATAAACGTGAAATTTGTATTTATATAAAAACTCCTTAAAAATGATTGTATCAGTACAAGACTTTTTTTAAATTGAATCAATGTCTAGCCGTACTTAAATGCTTAAATAAATTACAAATACATCAAGTACGCTGCCTTTTCTGTTCCAAATCAGGATACAGGTTGCCCTTACGCCATTAACATATGTTGAGAGAGAGAAACCCTCATTGATATCTGATAGATCATTTGATCTAGGTAAGTTATCAATGATTTTTTCTCGTTAATCAATATAATCTTAAATCGAAACGTTTGTTTAAAAATACAGTTTTAAAATTAAAACTAGTTGCTTAACTAGACAATCTGGTCTGTATTTTTTTCGTAAACATCACACCTAAAATAGAACAACATCAATGGTATGCTAGGACTCCATAGACTTTGTGATATAACAACAATTGGTAGATCGTCGACGTCGTACCGCTTCGTCACAGTCATCTCGCTACCCTACCGATATATATTCGATCTTCACTAACGATCTACGCTTTGTATGTTTGCAGTTACAGGACAGTTGAATATTGTACATTATGATAGGTTACTGCTGGAATTACTACACAATAACCGTCATTATTATGTAAGTAGTAGATTCAATTTTTCTTTTTACAGTGAATTTCTCGGACATAAATGGCATACGTCCGTGTGGTGACGGATTAAGAATACAGAGTGTCACCACCCCTATTCATTCCGTGGGTGTCGTAAAAGGCGACTAAGGGAGCAAAACTTGACACAAACCCTATACCAACCCGTCTGGCCAGCGTGGTGTAGTAGGCCAAAACCTCCTTTCTAAGGAGAGGCCTATGTCCAGCAGTGAACTTGTAAAGGCTGTTGATGATGATGATGAAATGGCATACAGAATTACTTTAGGAAACTTAGTTGATTTTATTTTTTTAAGTAGAAAAATATTATGCACGTTTATCGCGTAGAACTTATTGCTGTTTATTGTATTTTATTCCACCACACCATTCTTGAAAGTCATTTAGTATTTGTGGTTTATTAACCCAGGCTGCAATTGCCTAAGTAATTAAGCACATCACTTGGGAACGGTTGGATAGATTCAGAATTAATTTCTAAAAAAAATTAGTTGTTTAACATGACTATAAACCAGTCGTGATCTATCTATCTATATCTATGTTTGTGTGTATTGGCGAGGGGCGGTTCTGTTTCCGCATTTAGAGTTAGAAAGTGAGCCAGCCTAGCCTTCCAGAAGAACAAACACTATTCAGGTCTGATTCAGATGAGATTGAGCTGGCCGCAGGTACAACATAATTAGAGTCCAGTGAGAAAAAGTTTGGACTGC